TAAAAGAGAAGAGCAAAATGCAGATATATTAGAGATTATTACCTGAGAATTCCTAAGCTAAGAGGAATTATTACGGGTTTTTTTTCTTCTTAAAGGTATTAAAATCTAAAATCTAGTTTTATCTCTGGGAGCACTTTATTCATTACATCTATAATTCTACCATTTTTTGGCCAGGGTAAAAATGTTTAAAAATAACAAGTTTTGTGATTTTGGACGTAAAACACGACTCTTAAAATTCTGTGTGTTGTGATGGGGTTTTTTTTTGTTCTTTTGTTGTTGTGTCCTATCCTTGTCCTGTTGTCTTATGTGTCATGTGTGTTGTTTCCCCCAGTCTTATTCTCAGGGACAGTCTTGTGCCAAACCTCAGATTGCCCTTCAGATCCCATGGGTGATGCCAACCAAAGTGATTTGGCAACTAGATGGGAATGCTGGAACACTGAGAAATGTGTATCTCAAAAGCAAACTATTGCATCTGTGGAAATTGCCCATTTCATTCTCAGAGCTGTGTGAAAATATTTTAATTGGAGCCATTACCAAAACATCAGGGCAGGATGTTGTCTGTCCCCACAGTGGGATTGAGTTCAAGGATGAGACATAGAAGCCCTGAAATATTTGGGTTGGAAGGGACCTTAAAGCTCATTTCCTTCTACCTGTGCTGTGGGCAGGGACACCTTCCACTAGACCAGGTTACTCCAAGCCCCATCCAACCTGGCCTTGGATGCTTCCAGGGATGGGGCAGCCACAGCTTCTCTGGGCAACCTGTGCCAGGGCCTCACCACCTTCATAGGGAACAATTTCTTCCCAATATCCCATCTAACCCTGCCCTCTGCCAGTGGGAAACCATTCCCCCTTGTCCTGTCCCTCCTGGCCTTTTTCCAAAGTCCCTCTCCAGCTCTCTTGGAGCCCCTTTAGGCACTGGAGGGGGCTCTAAGGTCTCCCTGGAGCCTTCTCTTCTGCAGGTGAACACCCCCAGCTCTCCCAGCCTGTCTCCAGAGCAGAGGGGCTCCAGCCCTTGGAGCACCTCTGTGGCCTCCTCTGGACTTGCTCCAGCATACCTTGAGAATGTGACTGTCCTGGATGTTGGGAATGCAAAATAGGACATGCACGTTGGCTGCAGATGTTAAAACATGTGGAAATGGAGCCCATTCCTTGACTGATGCTTATGTAGGGGCAAGGTGGCTGTCCAGAGTACACAGAAAATCATGGAATCATCTAGGTTGGAAAAGACCTTGAATCCAACCATAAAAAAAAACAAAAACAAAAACAAACAAAAAAAAAAACAAAACAAAAACAAAAGAAGCTAGTGGAAGTCAATGTGACAAGGAATTAAAAGGAACATGGCAAAAACTGAAGGGTTCAATGAAAACCAGCAATTGACACAAACCATTCTGTTACAGAGAGGGGTTTCCTTGAGCAGATTATTCCACTGGTATCCTGTGCTTGGATACAAACAGGAAGGGCGCTGTGCCCCAGTGTTCTGCCTGTAAGTGACTACCAACTCATGGATACCCTGCTTCTGTTGCCTGTGACCTCTTTCTGTGTGGAATTCTGGCTCTGTGATGCAGACCAAAAGCATCAATTCCTTTGGAGATTATTTTAGTTGTTCAACTTCCATCTTCTGTCACTAGAGGGAAGGAACGGGTGCAGGAGAGTTAAACGCACAGAAGGAAACGAAGCAAAAAGCCAAGTGTGAAGTCTGGGAATCAGTCTTGAGTATTTGTGCAAACTGTTGAAGGAATACTTGCAAACAACAACTAAATTTAGCTTTTTGAAATGGTTCTAAACAAAAATATGCAGCTGAATAACAAGGATTTCAAGAAGATTTCTGTCAAGAAATTCTTGTCAAGGCAAGAAGATTTGTCTTCTCTCCATGGGAAGTGTGCACTCACTAGTGTGTGCCCAGGTGGCCGAGAAGGGCAATGACATCATGGCCTGTAGCAGGACCAGGGCAGTGACTCTCCCTCTGTACTGGGCACTGGTGAGGCCACACCTCAAGTCCTATGTCCAGTTTTGGGCCCCTCACAACAGGAAAGACATTGGGGGGCTGGAGCATATCCAGGGAAGGGAACAGTGCTGGGGAAGGGTCTGGAGCAGCATGAGTGACTGAGGGAGCTGGGGGGGCTCAACTCATTGTCTCCCTGAGAGCTTCCTGGACTTGGCAGGTGCGGGAGATCCAGATGAAAGGATTCAGTCCCTAGAGCAACCTTGACTGCCGTAACTGCTATTGACTTTTGACCTGTTTGTTTTTCCATTGATCTGCAAATAGTCTGAAAGGCAGGGATATGAATCTAAAAATGAACAAAACAAAATAAAAAGCTTCATCTTAGCTATTGTTGATTGAGATTTATCTGATCTTTTGCAAAATTAATAGAATGGTGCTGGGGACATGTCTTTTGTTCTTCTTGTTCAAAGAAGAGCAAGTTATTTGATTGTTTGTTAAGGTCAAGTAAGAGCAACATCATGCGACTCATTAAAGGTTACAGAGCTCTCCCTAAAATTAGGTCTTGACTATTATATCTCATCTCTCTGTGGATGATCTGAGCACTGAATGTACCAGAACATTCAAAGGGCCTCTGACATGCGACAGCCCTGTGAAGTTTTTTGCATCTGAAAACTGACTCCCATGTGGTTCCATGTTGCCTTCCTCTTGATGCCAAGACAAGAGACCCTCTCCAGCCTTCTTTAGGGACTGGACATTTACGTTTCCAGGTGTTTGGCATGGGATATGCTTTGGTTGCTGACTCAAGGAGCTGGAAAGGCCCTGTGGGAGGTTATTGCACATCTGTGAACATGGGGAGGTGGCAGCATGTGTGTGGGACAGCTCCACCTGCCAGTAACAACTCCCTGTTAGTGAGAGCTCCCATGTCCTGTGCCCAGCCCATTCCTAAGGGCACGGTGCTGCTTCAGAAGCATTCCTAACAATGTTTTGGATAATACATGTTTCAGTTGTACTTGCAGGAGGCTCCTGCTGCCATGGTCGATGGCTGGGCACTACGGGCTGCGGCAGCTGGGTGTGTGTGACACAGGGATTGTGTCACTGTGCAGTTGTGCTTAACATGAAAAAGGCATCACTGTGTTCCAGCGAGGCCTCCCCAGGGACCATGTGAGAGCCAATCTCTCTCTTCCCCTTTCTCTTTCCTTGTCAAGGAAACTCTGTAGTATCGTGTGCCGAAGAAGAAGAATTCCCTTTTGTGTACACTAGAATTTCTTTTGGCAGCTGGGAAGATCTCTTGGAATGCAGTAATGAAGGGTAGAGCTTACAGGAGTGGGGATCCGGCTTCACCAACAGAGCACGCAGTGGAAGCATTGTGACTATTAAATATTTTTTTACTTGGAGCATTCTACTCCTAAATCCTTCTGATGCAAATTGTGGGTAGGGGAAAATGGTGCACCAGAAAAATCCGTACCTTGGCAGCGGATGAAAGGGAGAGAACTGTGGGGAAATGGCACACGTGGGGTGGCAGAGCTGCTGCGAGGGACAATCCGGACGTTGTGTGGGCCAGATGTGCGTGAATTAGTGTGGGAATGCTCAGAACTGCCCGAATGGAGCACTCATGCAGTTCCTGTGCCACAGCAGCGCAGTGCTTACGCAACTTTTCTCGATCAGCAGAGGGGAGTCATTCCTGTAGGGATTTAGGCTGATCCCGGTGAGTTGCAGCCTGGGCTCTGGTGCTGAATAAACCTGGAAAGTGGGTGTTTGGTAAACAAATGGAGCAATCACAACTCCCTGCTCAGTGTGTTTGCCAGAGGCTGGAAATGACGTGTGTATGTATGTGTGTTGGAGAAGACCACAGGAGGAAAGAAGTTTCTCATTCCTGGGTGTCTACAGGGAATCAATCTGTAGGGGATTTTTTTGCTTCTCATTGAAGGTCTCCAGTAGAATTTTAGGAAATCCTTGGTGAAACCCTCTACATATCCTGGTAGAATTTTGGGAAATAATGTCAGTGGATTTTTGCTTGTTAGCAAGGGTCTCCAGATGCCCTGGTAGAATTTTGGGAAAAAATGTCACTGGTTTATCACTCTTTAGTGAAGGTCTCCAGCTGTCCTGGTAGAATTTTGAGAAATAATAAGTCAGTGGTTTTTAGCTCCTCACTGAAAATCTCTAGTTGTCCTGGTAGAATTTTGGGAAGCAATCTGTCAGTGGACTTTTACACCTTGGCGAAGGCCTCTAAATATCCTGGAATAATTTTGGGCAATAATAGCTCAGTGAATATTTAGCTTCTTGGTGAAGATCTCTAAATGTATGTCCTTGTAGAATTTTAGGAAATCATCTGTTGGTGATTTTTTTTTTTTTCTCCTTGAACTGAAGGTTTTCAGCTTTCCTGGTAGAATTTTGGGAAATAGTCTATCAGTAGATTTTGTCCCTTGGAGATGATCTCTAAACGTCCTGGTAGAATTTTAAGATATAATCTGAGTGGATTTTTGCTTTTGGGTGAAGATCTCTAGATATCCTGGTAGATAGAATTTTGGGAAATAATCTGTCAGTGGGTTTTTTGCTCTTCGGAGAAGATCTCTATCTGGAATAATTTTTCTAGTAATAATTTTAGGAAATGGAAGTATCAGAGTGGCCGACCGTTTTTCCAGAAAGGTCTGGATTGTTTGTTTGGAAATTCCAACAGCTCCCAGGGGACTCTCACCGCGGAACCGCGGGTGCCGTTTCCAGCACCGCCACCTCAGCACAGGCTGTGACTCGCTGGCTTTTGGCAAAGTGGCTGATTTTTCTGAAGTATTCTGTGTGGAGAGGGCCAGAGGAGCGGGCCGGGTGGGATGTGGCACAGCAGTAGGCTGGGAAAGCGGGGGTGGGGGGTCCGTGGTGCCCGTGGGAAGAGGCGGGGGGGGTGGGTTCACGAGCCGGGATGCCGAGGAGGGCGGAGCGGGAAGCCCGGGATAAGGGGCCGAGCATCCCTCCGCCGCCGGGCCGGTTGCCAAGGCGACGGCTGCGTGGCAACGGGCTGGCAGCGGGGACCGCCCGCCGCCGCCGCGGAGCCGCCGCGCAGAGCGGGCGCGCTGCCCTCCTCGCTGGATGCTGCGGCGGCCGCCCGGGAGCAGCCGCGCTCCGCTCCCGGTCCCCCACCGCCGGTGCCGACCAGGGGCCGAGCTCGCCGGGAGCAGCAGCGCTCGGTCTCCGCTGCCAGAACCAGCGCGGCGCGGAGATGGTGCCGCTGGTGCGGAGCGCCGGGGGCTCCCACCAGTGGCTGGCGATCGCTTTCCTCGGCCTTTGCTCGTTCCTTCCTCCCGGGAGACTCGCTGCGCCGGGCGGAGACTTCCCCGGGGCTACCGTGGACAATCTGGTGGTCAGGAAAGGGGACACGGCGGTGCTTAGGTAGGAGGCGATCGCGGGCGGGAGGGATGCAGGAACGGAGCGTCCCCGCCGCCGCAGCATCCCCGAGATGCCCAAGGCTCCGCCGGGAGCCTCCGACCCCTCTCAGGGGCGATGCGGCGGCGGGAATTTCCCCCGGGGATGCTTGTGGGGTGCCCCGGTGATGCGGGAAGTTATCCCTATCACCACCCGGTACCCGCATCCCCAGAGCTCCGGTCTGCTCGCCCGCTCCCGGGGTGGTTTCGTTCCGCGGTTTCTCCTGTTTTAACCCTATTTAGGAAGCCCAGTCTGTTGCTAGAAGTTTGGAAACGGGTTGTTGGGGTGAAATGATGCAGTTTTGGCTTCTGGCAGCAGTTTGGGAGCTCTGCAGAGTGAGCAGCGCTTGACTGTGGCAGGGAGAGGACGATTACACCCTGCCAGAAGCATTAACATTGGTATTATTATTTATTTTGAGATATGTTTCTATATTTCTCAACGAGAAATGCCATGCTTTATGCCAATAGGAGATTATGTTCCTGTTTCTCCTAATGGACCTTGTGTTCCCGTATCTCCTCATTACTTGACTGGAGCAAAATTTGTTTACCAGCAGTCCGACACCATAGTTAATCTACTCGAGTCCTTCCTTCTGGTTTGTGTTCATTAATCCTCTGCTTGACTTGATTATTCCCCAGCCCCCTAGACTCTAACTTTTTATTTGTGTGTTGTACTTTTGCCATGATCTTTCTGTAGTTCCAAAACCCCACATTTTCTCCTTCTCTGGAATATGGTTGCAGTGGGTTGAATTTCCTCACTGGTGATAAATCTCTGATTTTTAATTAGCAGCACTTCTCAGCTATGAAGTCTGGCTGTATTATTTTTGTTGGACTGTCACTGAAATCTCCAGGTTGCAATGTGTTTTATCCATAAGCATTTTCAATGATCCTACAGTCTGCTGTAAAATGCTGCATGAAGCATTTTCAGGCTACTCCTGCTGTAGTAGCTCCTGAAAATACAGTAGATGTCTATGTAGGGCAGCTGACAAGTGGTTTTTGTGTGTACCTCAATTATACTCTGTATTTTGAGACGTGCTCAGGTCCTTGTGCTTTCTGTCAGCACAATTGGAGGATCAAAGGAAATAATAATTTTAAAAAGTGGTTTATTTATACTGCTTCAGGCTCACAGGTTGCAGAGAAGGTAACTTGGTGGGTTCACAAGCAGTTAAGACAGATAGTCAGTACTAAATGCTATTAAGATATAAGTGTGTTTAAAACTACAGCATTAAAAACAGGTGTGATTGCTCTCAGTGTTATCTACTGGTGGGGTTCTGCTGGAACATATCCAGCTTTCCAGGCCTAAGGTTGTGTTTGGAACTCGGTGTCGGTGCAGCTGGATAGGTTACATAAACGAAATGGGAGCTTTAGGTTGCAAGCATCACTTTGGTCTCACTAGGAAGGGTGAGTGTGTGTTTTGTAAAGAGGTGCTGCTACAGGAAATGTTCACCTCGCTGCTGAGCTCTGGGACAGAGGGATGAGGTGCTGGAATTTTGAGTGTTACATCTGGATTTCATTCTTCACGCCCTGTGATTAACTTCTCTCATTTCCCGTGCCTTCAGCAGGCTTGCTTTAAACCAGGGCTTATTTTGTTTTAGGCTAGTGTTGTAACTTGGAAGGGATAGTGCAGGATCACTGTGGGAGCAAACACTTTGAGTGTGCAGCAGCCAGGCAGAGCCTGTTATCCCGAGTCTCCCACTGCCCAGTGTCTCAGCTCCTTTGGGAGTGTTCCTCACTGGATATTTGTGTTGTAAACTAATTTCAATATACAGTAAAATAATTGCTATTAGTATCCTAAGTATTGGAAGCTGGCTCTTTATTTAAATACAAATTCCAGTGAGCTGAATAAACCATTTGGCTGCTGGAAAAGGAGTTTGTTCCTTCCAGCTCTGTAGCCATCTGAATTCAGCCCTTCCTAGTGACTGTGCCTCGCAGCGTCCAAAATTGGCTGCGCTCCGGAGTCCCCAGCCTCTTGTAGCAAGATGGCCATGGGCTCTCTGTGGCCAGCACGTGTTGATTCCCCCCTAAGCACCACCTTCTCTGCTTTACCAGTCTTGAGAGGGCTTCAAACGTTGCCTCCTCCCCTCGGTACCGAGGCAGCACTGTGCCAAGAGCATCCTGCTTTAATAATTAAAGCTGGAGTATGGGCGGCACTCCCATGGCTTTGAGTCAGCATTTTCATGGCTGTCAGAAGATGAGGGTGATTTATGGGATGTGTGTTGAGGTGGAGCCAGCCCCCAGCAAGGGGCGTTGCGGATGCCCTTGCTTGGGTGCGGACCCTGCATAGGGCTGAGGACCTTGGACAGCTGTATTACACATCACCCCATGGTCTGAGCTCCCCAGGAGAGTGAATAAATGGGGTTGCTCGTGTTGAACTGAGGAGAAACTTTTACTCACGAGTCTCATTTTGAGCTGATATATCAGAGAGGAAAGCACATAGCCTGTTTGAATGAGTATGGGGCATGTGGGCCAGGTGCCAGCCCCAGTTCTCACATGAAGTTTTCATTGTCTTTGCTGAAGATGAGCAATAAAGGCTCCTGGAACTGCTGAGGTTTTCCAGTAAAATCCTCTGTGTGTTAACATGGAGTAAAATAAATAAGTTTGGCTCCCTCATTTTGAAATAGTTAACTCATAACAGTGTAATTAGTTAATTTAGTATCAAATACACAGCATCTATTTAGTGCTGCAGAAGCAGCACTGTATCACCCCCTGTCCTGGTGCTCTTGGAGCATCGCTCTCTGCCCAGTGCTCTGGGAACATCTCTCCCTGCCTGGTGCTCTGGGAACATTGCTCTTGTCTGCTGTTCTTGCTCATCTAGACCCCTTCCCTCCTCACCCTCATGGCACCCCTGGGGTGAGTGCCCTCTTCAGCCCCATTGCCAGGACCATTGTGGGGCTGGGTCCTGCTTTGCTGTGCCCAGGTGGTACTGGGATGCTGGGATTCTCCTGTGGCCTCCCTGGCCAGCAATTCCCAATGCTGGCAGAGGCACGGGACCCATGTGACCCTTCATGAAGGACTGACAGAAGAGCAGGTTTGCCAAGAATGTCACTGGACACCTGCTTTGGTAGAGAAACACCCTCAGCAAGGGGATTTTACAGAAAAGCCCTTGTTAGCCGAGGAGTTCTGTCTGTGATGAGTTATTTCTGTAGCCTCAGTAATTAAACCCACGTCCCTTTTGTTTGATTTCAATTGGTGATTGATCCTTACAGTCCCAACACTATTTGTATTTATTTAAGTTATAAGAAATCATGTCAGTAATGTGGTTGTTCTTCATGGCAGAATAATGTTGGGAAGCCGCTCACTTTCAGCAGTATTATTCCATCCTGTGTTCTTCCTAGGCAGCCTGTTAAGATTTCATGAGAACACATGAGGAAGGAGAGAGCAACTTAGAAACCCATGATTTTATTAAAAGAGTATATTGCTTCACTGTGGACTGCTAGAAATGCAGGGAACAAGCTGTATATTCAGAGCTGGGTTTCTCCCGTGACCCTTTCCAAGACCTCCTGTAAGGAGTGGGATCACTGTGTGTTCCAGCATATCCATCTCACTGACAGCAGAAGTGGAGATTTCAGGAGGGGAGTGTTTTAGGAGAGGTGACAAATGTGAAGCACTTGACAGAATGCAGGCACAGCCAGAGTCAGGGGCAGGGCTGGCATTACAGGGCTGGATGCCCAGGGGGTATGAGACACTTCCACTTGAGAAGGGCTTCATCTCCTTCCAGGTGATGTGGGGAGGACAGTGGAGAGCTCACATTGGGATGGCAGCAAGAGGCATTTCTGCTTCTGTGAGAAATAAAAGAATTCCTCTTTGCCTTCCTGTGGTGATGCTGATCCCAGTTACGGCCAATGTGTGTTTGTGTGTGGCCCCCATGGCTTTAGATAACACAGGAAACAGGGATGTTGTCTTAGCAGTCCCCGTGTACCTCACCTGCTATTTGGAGCCCAAGTCCCCATGGATATCAGAATGTACAAAATGTGCTGAAGATGATCAAAAGGGCTTTTTCTAGCAAGCAAATGTTTTTATCCTGCATTTTGTTTTTCTCAAAGCTCATGGATAATGAAGGCAACTCTACCTGGTAGCATCTTTATAGTACCTTTACGTTCTGTCATCGCAGCAAATTGAGCTTCAGAAGTTGTCATGGTTTTAAAAAAGCAAAAGATCTTTTTACCAGTATATGATTATAGAGGAATTTAGGGAACATGGGCTCTGCAGTCTGTAAAATACTGTGAATTACTCACTTCAAAGAGTTAAACCTCAAGCTGGGATCCATGATGTTCCCAAAGGCTGGCAGGAGGAGCTGGAAAGCAGATATCTATGTCCAGCTGTGATCACAGAGCAGACGTGGGGTCTTGTCAAACCCGGCTGGGAAATCCAGGGATCACTTTTAGGCCAGCCATGTGAGCAGGTCAATGAACTGATCCACGTGTTTGCCCACAGTTGTCCCTTTTGGCCATCCCGTGAATGTTGTCTAAGGTTTGGGCAGCTGATGGTCACCTGAGGAGGGTGATTATAGAGAATGTCTTTTTTTGGTCACAGCTCAGGAGGTTTGGGGCTTTTTAGTTTGTTTGCTGAATTGGAAATTCTTCGTGTGCAGTCTGGCTGCTTCTCACTGCACCTTGGAGACTTTTAGGTCTGTGTTGTGTCCACTCTCCCCTGCCATGGGGACCTGGGGCAGTCACCAGACATTGCGGATAAGCTCCTGGCAAGGCAGGATGGGCTGCAGGGATCTGGAGCTGTCCCCAAACACACTGGGTGAGCCCCTGGCAAGGCAGGATGGGCTGTACCTGCGGATGAGCTCTGCCCAGGGGTGTGTCTTACTGGGTTTTTTCACTGGTGTTGATAGATTTGGGCATGTCCTTGGCAGCTGATCTGGAACTACTTGTCTCTTTTGCTGGCTGCTCTTAGGGCTTCTCAACTTGTTCTTTTCCATAAGATTTTCTGCTAGTGGAAGCAGTTACCATCTAGGGAATGGAG